GCTGAGGGACAGCGCCCAGGCCCAGAGTTCAGGCCCCATGACTGACAAAAAAAAAAAAAAAAAGACATGGGAAGCCATGGAGAGCCAAGGGGCCTCTAAGCAGAGGGCTCTGAGGACACAGGGCCTTTGCTATCAGAAAAACATTTATCCCAATCACACCCTTCTGGGAGGAGGGACTGACAGGACTGGGGTTCAGGGTTAATCCCAGGCCAAAATGTTAGCAAGACCCCATTTCAGCAAGTTGGCTGGTTGTGGTAGTGTGCACCTGTGATGTTAGCTATGTAGGAGAAGATAGATAGGAAGATCAATTTTAGGTCAACTGTGGAGGAAAACCCAAAACCCTACCTGAAAAAATAACTAGAAGCAAAACAAAACAAAGATTCTATCTATCTACCTATCTATCTATCTATCTCTATCTCTATCTATATATATATCGTGTGTATATGGGAGGGTGACTTGTGTTAGAGCTGAGGCCATGAGTTCAAACATCAGTTCAGGGAGAGGAAGATGGATGGAGGAAAGTAAGAAAGAGAAAAACGACACTGAGACACTTTGCTCAATGATCAGATGACCTGTGGGCCTGCAAGTTGGCCAATGGATGGAGATCTCTTTTGTTTGTGGAGTAAGAGAATTTATTACTACGCTGTTCCACAAATGTCCGTGTTGTGCTTGCACAGGGGCCCGGCCCGTCTTCTCTGCATCCTTCCCGTTTTATTACGTGTGCTGCCAAGGGAGCCTAGGATGGAGATAGTCTAAAAAGCACATTTAGAGTGTGATTTCTTTGGAAGTGCTGGAGATGGACCTGTGTTCCACACGCTGGGAAGTGCTACCCCTGAGCTATCCTCGAGCTCTGATTTTATTTTTCCCCATCAACTTGGCAGAAAGTGAACCCACTGCTAATCCCCAGCGTGGGTAAGAGGGTGGGTCAGAGCCCGCCCCTCCCCGAAGGCACTCCTGCCAGCCAGCGACCGGAAGAGCTAAGCCAAGCAAAGGTGCGAGAACCACCATGCCAACATCCTACCACGCAGGGCTCACTACGCACCCCATGAGGCGCCATGCGCCCTGTAAACAGGGCCACATCCTGAGAAATTGCACTCAGGTACCACAGGAGGCCGCTCGCGCAGCGCATGCGCATCCCCTCTTCACAGGAGAGAGTGGAATCCACACGCCAGAGCACAGGGCCATCTTCTCTGGGCCGGGTCTGTACAGCCCTAGGAGAACCTGGTCTGGGCCTGGGCTGGCTGGTGCGCCGGTGGGGTGGGAGGTCTCCATCGCTCAGGGCCATCTCCCAAAAAACGAGGGCAGCTGTTTGGAAAGCAGACTGTGGAGAGAAGGGGGACCCTCTCGAGGCCTCGCAGGGAACGGGCAGGGCTCCAGGGACGCCGGCCAGGCGGAGCAGGCGTGAGACTCGGCTGTGCAGGCCTCGAGGACGTGGGGCTCACCGCCTGTGGCAGGGCGGGGGTTAACTTGCCCTAGTGACACCCAAGACACCCAGGCCCGCAACAGGGGTGGGGGTGGGGAACCGGGCGCTGGGCTTGCTGTCGGAACCGGTTCCCGTGATTGTGGGAATGGCCTGCACTGGGCCGTGCGATCTCCATGCAGCAAAACTCTACCGGGGAGCCAGGTTTGCGTGGAGGAGCCCCGGGGAGGCCTCCCGCCGTGGGCCGGGGCCACACTGAGTAGCGGCCACGGCCCCGCCCTGCTGGCCCCAGGGTGCCCCATGCAGGTAACTTCTGGGCACCTTATTTCTTACTACATTGTGTCCAAGACACAGAAGCTCTCACTTCTGCCACTGTCTCCTTTTTTTTTTTTATTTTGCCACTGGTGGGGCCTGAACTCTGGGCCTGGGCGCTGTCCCTCAACTCTTCAGCCAGGCGCTCTACCACTTAGCCACAGCACCACATCTGGCTTTTTCTGCTTATGTGGTGCTGAGGAATTGAACCCAGGGCCTCATGCATGCAAGGCAAGCACTCTACCACTGAGCCACCTTCCCAGCCCTCCTTTTATTTTTTGCCAATTGTGGGATTTGAACTTGGGGCCTCAGCACTGCCCCTGAGCTTTATTTTGCTCGAGGATCACCACTTTGAACCAGAACCACTTCTGGCGTTCTGGTAAACTGGAGATAAGTTGTGAGGCATGGAACCTTTCTTTCCTCTTTCTTTTCTTTCTTCTTCCTTCCTCCCTTTCTTTTCTTCTTCTTTTTTTTTTTAGTCCTGGGATTTGAACTCAGGGCCTGGGTTGTCCCTTAGCTTTTCCACTTAAGGCTAGTGCTCTACCACTTGAGCCACAGCTCTCTTTCTGGCTTTTCAGTGGCTCATTAGACATAGGAGTTTCACGGACTTTGCCCAGGCTGGCTTCACACCAGAACCATCAGATCTCAGCCTCCTGAGTAGCTAGGATGACAGGCCTGAGCCTCTGCCATCTGACTCAGACAACCTTTCAATCCTGAGACTCAGGGAAGTCTGAACCCAGTCCTAAAAGCACTGCTTCTAATCACTCGGACGGCTAGCCCTGGCTCTGGCGCCTTCACTCTCCTCCCCTTTGCTGAGAACTGCTGCCACGGACCCTTGACAAGTGGCCTGTGGCCTGTCCTGCTGACGCTGGCCCGAGCACGGGGCAGGGCTGTCACAGACCCCAGGACCCCGCTTTGATGACAGACGCAGGCCCGGAGCCCCTTCCACCAGGCTGTGGGGTCGTTTCCAGCAACGCCTCCCCAGGAGCCTGGCTTGCCGAGTCGCTCCTCCTTCCTATGGGCGGTGGGAGAGCATGTGACTCAGACATGGGTCCAGCAAGGTGAGGGGCTGGCCAGGTGTTCAGCATGGCCCCCAGCCTCCTCTACTTCCCGGCCCACCAGGAAGCCTTTGTGCCCTGCCTGAGGGAATCCACTCTGCCCTCCCAGGGCTCCTGGCTCTGTGCAGGAGCACCAGGAGCCAGGACGAAGGCCCTGGGTCCTGCGGGCACTGCAGCCCCTCCCCGCAGCAGGGTCGGTGTGGGCTGCGGGCCCACCGCAGCTCTGAGGTTCTGAGGCCTCAGCTGCTCTGTCTGAGGCTTCAAAGGCACAGGGCTTAGAGAAGAGCACAGGCTGGGGACGCAGCCCTGCCTACAACTGCTAAGCTCCTTGCTTCTTGAAAACCCAGGGAGGCTTAGCACTGGGAAGGGCTGGGAAGAGCCAGTTCCTGGCTTCTGACCCTTGTGGCAGCCCCCACCTCCATACATCTAGGTTGCCAGAGTCTCTGCTGTCCTATCTGCAGGGAGCCGGGACCCCCCTGGGCAGGGGCTCAAGTGAACATATCCAGCAGCCCCTAGAGTGCTCTAGTGGGCTGGTACGGCCAGCACAGGTGCTGCCAGCAGTGGCAGAGGCGAGCAGGGAGGAAGGAAGAGGGTTTTGAGGGGGACGGGTGTGCAGGTGTCGTGCAGGTCCTTGGAGCTGGGCTGGGCAGTGGGGTGGAAGGGGCAGGCTTGGTCATCCCCATTTCTGCTGGGACCAGGTTCCCATGGACACATGTGGTGGGGGCGTAGCCACAGGGTGGGGTGGCGTGGATGGCCCCAAATCAGTCCCTCATCCGCCATGAGCCCCGTTAGGATGCACGTGCCCACACTGCGGCCATGCACCCTCTAGTGGGGCCCCAGCGCAACAAACAGGTGAGCAAATAAATCCAGCTCCCCTCCCCGCGGGGCAGAACTGGAGAGACCCGAGAGGGGGCCAGAGTCCCTGCCAGGGCGCACACCTGTCATCCCAGCTACACAGGAGGATGAGATCTGAGGAGCATGGTTCAAAGCCAGCCTGCACAGCAAAGTCCATGAGACTTTTCTTTCTTGGTTGCTTGTGGGGTTTGAACTCAGAGCCTGGGTAATGTCCCTGAGCATATTTGTTCAAGGCTAGCACTCCACCAGCCTTTAAGCAACACGCCACTTCAGGTTTCTGAATGGTTAATTGGAGATGAGGCTCATGGGATTTTTCTGCCTGGCCTGGCTTGGAACTGCGGTCCTCAAATCTCAGCCTCCCGAGCAGCTAGGATGATGGGTGTGAGCCCCTGGTGCCTGGCTTCGTGAGACACTTATCTCCCAATAAACTACCAAAAAAGCCAGAAGTGGAGCTATAGCTTCAGTGGTAGAGCGCTAGCCTTGAGCAAAAGCCACTCATGAATAACACCCAGGCCTAAGTTCAAGCCCCAGGACCAGCACAAAAATAAAGAGGGGGGGACGTGGAGCCAGAGGTGGATCAAGTGCCTCCCAGATAACCCGAGGTGACCCCCGCAGGGACTCCGGCTTGCAGGAATGTGGAGCCCTCCATGTAGATGTGGTAGGCACCCGCGGACCGTCCCAGAGCAGGATGCCACAGGAGTGGCTTTGTGATGAATGCAGCCCCACCTGCTCAGGGGGAGTCCAGAACGGGAACCACGTGGAGTGGGAGGACGATGGCCTTCACCCCGGACCCCAGAAGCCTGGCCCAGGTGGTGGCCAAGGAAAGTTGGAGGCCAGTGGGGCTGAGCCTGGACAGGAGGGAGGGAGGAGGTGCTCCTTGTGGGTGGCAGGGCCTAGCTGGGTGCTGCCGGCCCACCGCTATGATCCTATCTAGGGTAGACCATGGATTAACCACCTAAAAGCTGTTAGTGGAGCTGTGGTTCAAGTGGAAGGGGGTCACCATGAGCACAAAAGCTAAGGGGCGCTGCCAAGACCTTGAGCTCAGCCCCAGAATAAGACAAAACCCAAGACCCCCAAACCAGGCGAGCTCCCCTTCTGCCCCGTGGGCTCAGCATTATTTGTAAGGATGGCCCCCTCGTGTACAACAGGGTGTCAGGCACCCAGTGCCCAGATCCTGCTCCTCTGTGGGGGCTGTGGGCCCCAGGAGTGCCCCCGCCCTGGCTCCCAGGGACTCCAACAGTCCTGGATCCCAAAACAGAGGTTCTGTGGTGCCCCAGCCCCCCACAGTCCCACAGTCCAGCCTGACTTCTCCTCATTCCCGCCGACCTAGCTAGGCAAGCAAAGTCCAGGAAACATGGGTTTGAATTGACTTTATTATTCTGTAAATGTGAATTTTACAAAGCGCTTTACAATTAATGGTGACATCCTTTTGTGTGTCGTGGACTTCCACCTTACAAAACAGCTCTGAGCAGGCGCTCAAGGCCGGTTTCCCTGGTCACTTCGGATGTTGTTGCTGTCTTGGTTATTGATACAAGTTGTCAGCCATGGCTACAAAGTAATAGTCTTATCTCTAAGGGGTCACAGCACGGAAAGAGAGTGAGGACACAGGAAGGACAAAACAAAGGCTTCCTCCTCCTTGCAAAACAAAACAAAACAAAACACAAAACCACAACAGAAAAAGCCAGCACTGGCGGAATCGAACTCAGCGGTTCTGCGAAGCCCTCCTTGGTCGCACAGGAAGTTTATTTTATTAACATTTTTTTAACAGTCGTGAGTTACAGTACTACTTTAACCCCTAGACACACCCTTTAAAGCAACCATTGCCTTGTAAGTCTCTCTTTCTCCAAACATCCTGTCGAAGGAATGAATGTTCTATTTGTACCCAGTGCCACCCAAATGTTCAAGTCAAAAATATTTATACATTTTATACTTAGTTCTTTTTTGTCTGCTAAAAATAGTATTGCAAGTTTTGGCTTCTTTTGACATAAAAATCACAATCGTGTGCAAAACTCTCACTTTACAATGGAGGCGACTACCAGAACACAAGCAGGTTGTCCAACTTGAGTGCGTTAGGTTCTGCATAATTTTCCTGGTCATTTTCAAGAAAACAAGACAAAAACAAACGGAAGCAAAACACCTTTGCCATTTTAGACACTCCCTCACTCCCTGGGGGCGGGGGCCACAGGCTGACCTCACGAGGAATGAAGCCGCCAAAGTGGCAGCAGTAATTAAAGCTGAGACCCCCACAAGCTCCCGGCCTACAAAGGGTTCACGGCCTGCCGGAGAGGCGGGCAAACTCGGTGAGTTTTCCACTGGCACCAGCCCTTCTCACCCCAGCAACCAGACTTGCCTAACAATCAGCCTGCGGGGAACACAAACTGAGCATGGCCGGGCAGGGCGGGACTAGGGTGGTGCTGGGCCTAGAAAATGAACCCCAGCACGCCTGTGCGCTGGAGGGCAGATCCTGGCCAGGCCCCTCCTCTGCCCTCCCCTCAGCTTTAAACGCCAACACCAAGGACTTCCCACGGAAGACAAGACCACACAGCCAGCGTTCCACGCCCGCCGGCCCGGCCAGCACCCCACACGGACATGCCGGGGTCAGGGGGCCAGGGTCTTCTCCCCCTCCTTGCTTCACACACACAGCTGCGTCCACATTCAGGGGCAAAGTAAGACACCAAATCGGATGCAACCGTAAGCAACCACAGAGAACTCGGGTGGCAGACCCGGTGCTGAAAACAAGACAGAATTCAAGTACTGAGCCGCCGAGTAGCGGGCGGCTCCTCTGAGCTCACAGATCTGTCCCGTCTCTGGTCCTCTCCTCTGGACCTTCTGCGTTTGTTCCAGCAGCCCCGGGGGGGGGGGGCAGGGGGCTCCCATCCCTTCTGTGAGGGCAAGGGAAGGTGGAGTGGGAGCCAGACCCCAGGTCAGCCACCCACCTCAGCGCTCCAAAACGGTCCAGTCCCAACCATCCTCCAGGGAAAGGCGCCGATATAACTTAGTTCTATAATAGACTCTATATAGTAGATGCGTATTGCTAGTAGTCAAGCTTAGGAATAAAGGTGCAGACATCTCATAAATACTGAGTGGCTCGTCTCCCGTCCTCAGGGTCAGGACGAGCCAGGGTCGCGCTGGCAGGACACGACAGCCCCGATTTCTGGAATTCGTCATTGTAAACAAAGGAGGGGAAGGGTCCGGTTTTCTTAATTGGTTTTCCTTGGGAAAAATGATCAAAAGATGCTAAGGCACTCTGGAAGGCCCCCCGAGCCCAGGCCCGCCGCCCACCCGCCCCACGGTACATTCAGGATGCGGAAGGAGCCCCCCCCCCCCAGGCGGGTGCGGTCACCTGCCACGCACGTCTGCAAATGCTCCCTACCACGTCCACTGCAGGACACATTAGTGCAAAACGCTCGGCCTGGCCCACAGGGCGCAGGGGGAGCTCAGATCCATTCACATTTAATCATCATTATTTAAGTTTTACCTAGAGTTCTTGCCTTCCTTACCCAGAAGAACAAAAGACACGTGATTACAAACGAGGGAGGGGCAGAGGTCACGGGGACATTGTGCTAGCCCGAGCGGCGGCCAGGCGTTCTGTGCGGCCACTGTGGCCTCCTCCAGTGGCCAGTGGTGCCCTCCCTGTGCTAGCCCAGGAATGGGGGGGGGGCAGGCCACTTGGAGTGGAGTGGGGGAAACAAAGCCCTCCGTCAGCAGCCAGGACAGCAGGCTCACGCCCCCAAAGGTCCCCAGGGATGGTCAAATTAAAGTGCAAATTTGGGTGGAGAAACAGATGAAGGAAAACTCGGGTCAGAGGGACTGGGGTCCAACGCTGCCCCGCCTCCCCGCTCCACAGCCTCTTCCTAGCACCAGCCGCCCTGGGTCTCCAACCCACCTGGCTTCAGGTTGGGGTGGGGAGCAGGGAGAGGCCCACCTCAAGCAGGGGGGCTCAGGCCTGGGCTGCTGTATGCCCTCCGTGCTGGCTGCAGCCTCCTGAAGCCCCCCAGGGGCGAGTGGAGGGGCTGGCTAGTCTCGAGGTACCTCTTTCCGGAGGGCAGGCACACGCGTGGCTGGGCGCAGTGGGGGAGGGTCTCCTGTGGGGTCCCCAAGGCCTCTCCACGTGGCAGGCAGTGCCCGCAGGTGTCCCAGGCTCCCCGGCCAGACTCTGGCCCTCCAGCGGGGGCGCACCTGCGCAGCTGTGTGCACACGAAGCCATCAGGGCGGAGGGAGGACGGGGCAGCAACAGACTCTTCAAGTCTTGGAACGAGGTTGTCCTTGGCCTTCCCAAGAGCTGCCTGGGTCCTGCGGGCAGTACAGTCCCCAGCCCAGGAAGAGACACTGGGCATGGCCCTAGGAACACAGTCCCACAGCCATGAACAACACTTACAGACAACTTCAAGGCGGGCGCTGCGGCCGCCCTCCTCCGTGCTTTCTAACCCCTTGGGTCCCCACTGGAGTTAGTACCTGTAACCCCAGCCAAGCTGGCCCTGTGGCCTAGCCCCAGGAGCCCTGGGCACCACAGAGGTGCCGTGCCCATAGCGTGAATGAGGGGTCAAGTTCAAGGGGCAACCCTGCCCTGGCCCAGACCGGGGGGCATCCTGTCCAGCACAGCCTCCGACCTCTACGCTTGGGGTCTGCACATCTGGGCTGCCCTTTGCTGGGCCCAGCCTCCAACAGGAGGAGCATGGCGCTGGCGCAGGATGGGGGTGTGGGCATGCACGCACCCCAATATGTGGTAAGCTGAGACAGGGACGCCCGTCCCGCCCCGATTTTTTGCTCTATTGGGTCTGAAAGTTTCCAAACAATATATGAAACACATCCGAACAAAACGAAAATACCAGAGAAGCAAAGCCTGGGTGGGTGGGAGGCAGAGGACGTGAGGCGGAGCTGCGCATTCGGTAGGTTCAAGACGCCCCACTCCACGGGGAGGGGCAGCCGGGTGAGGGCCACAGGAGACCTGGGAGCCAGCAGACCAGGCGCCGGGGGTCTCCTGGGAGCCGGCAGGCCAGGCCCCGGGTCTCCAGGCTGACTGAGGGGCTGCAGGGCTGAGGGATGGGTGGGGCAGAGCAAGAACGTGGACATGGATAGAGAACTGGGGTCCTCCACCCACAGGTGCCCGCAACAGCTATGGGTACGGCATGGCCACCGGTCTCTTCACTCACTCACACTCACACATTCACGCTCACACACATACGTGGCATCTCAGGAAGAAGGAAAAATAAGGAGTTTGGCCTCTGGGGGCCCAGCACTGCCCCCTGACCCAGGGGGGTCCCCACGGGTAAGAAATGGAGTGTCATGCACCCCAGTCCCACCTGTCCCCGGCTTCCTCTTCCAGGGCAGGTGGAACAGGAAGGGCAGGTGAGGCAGGGGCTGGCCTGGGCACCCGGGCCCAAGTGGCCTCCCACCCCTCCCCCTTCCCAGGGAGGGGAAGGGGCCGCTACACCAGGAGGCTGACCTGGGAGTTTCGGAAAGGAGCCTGGGACACCCTCCCAGCCGGTGGCCAGCGGGTGGCCAGCGGCCTAACTTTACAGTATAATGAATGCATGTGTTTCCTTCATCCATTTTAAATACAGGCAGAATAAAATCACATTTCTGTCAGGCAGCAGTAGCAGTTCAGTAGGTAAGTGGCTTGATCACATTGGTTTGTATTAGTAACGCATGCAAGCAGCTTTAGTACTAGGTCCCTCTCGGGCTGGCCACCCCAGCCCCTTACAAAGTCCCTGCGTAGGTGCCCTCCGGCCTTCTTGTCGCCACGGCTGCTGGCGTCTGGGGCCTGCTGGAGCTGGCACTGCCCTGCTCGAAGGGCTGTGAGGGGCTCTGGCCGGTGGTGGCCAGCGGCTCTGGGGCGGCCACCTCCTGGATGACCGAGCCAGCCCCCTCGGCCTCCTCGCTGGCCTCGAAGGCGGAGCTGGCGGCGGCGCTGAGATCCACGTTCACCGCGTCCGTTCTCAGAGCCACAATGGTGGCGGCGTCGCTCCTGCGCTCGGCGTAGATGCGCTGCTCAAACACCTGCGCGGCAGCGGGCGGGAACTCGGGGTCGAGGGGCAGGCCGGCGGCCGAGGCGCCCATGACCGTGCGGTACATCTCCACGCCCTCCGGCAGCATGGACTTGATCTTGGGCAGCCAGCGCTTGCGGACGCGGCGGGCGTTGGTGCACATGTCCGCGGCGATCACATTCATCTCGCTCTCCTTGAAGCTGGGGGCGAAGTTCTGACAGTACACTGCAAGGACACGTGTGCCGGGGCGTCAGGGGGCCCCCACCGGCCATGCGGCCACAGATCTGAGAAGCCCTGCACAAACTCGGGGCCCGAGTGCCACCAAGCCGCAGCGCCACCGCCAGGGACACTCTGGGACTGTCTGTGCTGCACGGACACCAGAGACCATGTGGCCTCGGGGATCCCTCAGCCTGAACTGAGGGATCTGCCACACCGGCAGTCACCTTCTCAGTACTTGGCCCTTGATGTGGTACGGAGGGCAGGGCCGGCCGGTCGGGGCAGATCCTGGCCGCCCATCATACTGAGGTCCATGTCTAAGCCCTCTGGGTCTCCCAACCTCTACTGCAAATCAGGACTGGCCAGAGGGCCCACCTCACATGGGAACACGAGCAAAAGCTCAGCTTGTCCAGAACCTTCCTCATCCCAGGCCCCGTGAACAAGAGACAAAGACAACCACAACAAAAATCCTCTGGCTTTCTCCACCAGGAGTCATAGACCAAAGCCAGGCATTGGGTCCCAGAGAGCACTGAGCAACAGGCCAAGCCAGGTCTCTGGTCTCAAAGGGCACAGAACTAGGAGCAAGTCCCCATCCCCTCGGGAGCCATGCCCTGCCTCTGAGCATGCGCCCCCCCGCCCCCTTTCCGGCATCTTCCTGGGTCTCAGCTGTCAACCTGCATTCTGGGAATGTAATTACTAACTGCTAAGGTCCTTCTATGGCAAAACAGAATTAGCCTCAGAAGGGATATATATATATATTTTTATTTTTTATTTTTTTTAAGCAAGAAGAGAAGACAGCGTTTCGTGGGCCAATGGCCTCAGGAAGCTGTGCTCTTGGCCAGCCCGGCACGTGCCAGGCAGCGAGGCCTCTCCCTAGCTGGGGGCCGGGCACGGCCTGCCACCCAGACAACTGGGCCCCGCCCAGCACCCAGGAGCGGGAGGCAGAAGCCGGCCGAACAGATGGCAAAGGCTCAAAATAACCTCAACATGTAAATAAGGGGTTTTGTTCAAAAAGGAAAATTAGATCTATTTCACATATTAAAATAGTTTCGCAGCTGAATTCATCACGCTTGGAAACCTACCAAGGACGTTAGCACCTCCAGACTGCGCTCCGCTGGCTGCTCTTTTCTCTCTCTCCCCAGTGCCATGGGCCGATGGCGGTACTGAGAGAGGCAGCCTCGAGGCCCCCCCAGACTTCCTCCAACTCAGATCTGAACCCCACAGGGACTTCCTGGACTTCCCAGGACCCTCCCCCCCCCCCCCCAGCCCTGCCCCACAGAGACCATGGCCTACTCACGTTTCACAGCATTTAGGACTCGGCTGTCCAGCGGCTTACGGCTTGGGTCGCTGGTGGACGAGCGGATGCCTGTGCCACAGCTGTTGGCCAGCGTGTTCCTGGTGGAGAGATGAGCAAAGGCCGGTGAGGCCACTGGCCCAGAAGTGACCCAAGGAGCAAGCCCTTCCTCTCCACACCGCAGACTCCTCCACCCAGCAACTCCCCCCGCCCCCCCCCCCCCCCGCCAGGTGGACGTGGCCCACTGGAGTTAGGACCAGCCTTTCTCTAAAGGACAGGGCAAAGGCAAAGCCTCTGCTTGAGGGGTTCTGTGGAGCAAGCCCGGTCCACAGAAACTGTGGGTTGCTTCACCGTGGGGTAGGGCTCTGCTGACCGGCTCATCTGTGAGCACAGGGGTCCGGGCCGTCTGCTCCTGCTTGTGGGGACTTGAGCCCTCTGGGGCTTTCTGGGACTCCAGGGCCCCCCCAACCCCTCCCAAGAGCCTGGTCTGAGGGACCACCTTCCCGGAGCTTTCCCCACCATGGACTGACAAGCCATTTTCAGAAGTTGGGGAAAGGCAGAGGGCTTCAAATGCCCAAACCTTCATGACCGGACAGCTAAAGGACACTCCAGAACTTTCTTTCTTTCTTTCTTTTTTTTTTGTAGGTCATGGGCCTGGGCGCTGTCCCTCAGCTCTTCAGCACAAGGTGAGTGCTCTACCACTTGAGCCACAGTACCACTTCTGGTTTTCTAGTGGTTTATTGGAGATAAGAGTCTCACGGACTTTTCTGCCTGGGCTGGCTTTGAACCATGATCCTCAGATCTTAGCCTCCTCAGTAGCTAGGATTACAAGCATGAGCCACCGGCGCCCGGCTACTCCAGAACTTTCTGCAGCTGCCCCCTGCCCCTGCCACCTACCTGTCAAAGAAAGTGGCCAGCAGCCGCCGCAGCAAGACCTTGTGCTTCACCCCTGCGCAGAGGTGGCAGTTCATGAGCTGGCCCCGTGTGATGTAGACACCAGAGCCTGTAGGCAGCAAAGGGATGTGAGGCCCTTCACCCTGAAACTAGGGCTTGCAACCCCGTGCCCCCTCCTCCCCAGGAGACTCTGGGGTGGAACGGGTTGGCAGAGAAGCCTGGGACAGGTGTTGGAGGTAGAGAGGGGCTGAGGCCTCTTAGGACCCCTGCTTTGACAGGCCCAATCTCCACCCCCACCTGCTGGTCTTGACAATGGTGCAGCCAGGCCACGCTGGCCCTGTTCTAGGAGCCATGGCTGGGTTCAGCTGGGGCTGGGGCAAGCCCTGGTGCCCCACAGCTCCCCAGATGTCCCCAACTCCCAGATTCCCCTGCTCTGCTGAGGTGCTATTGGCAGCCAGCCTTGGTCAGCTCCCTAGAAAGATGGTCTGGGCGCAGCGGGGAGGGCGGCTCCAGTTCTGGGTCCCAGCAACCACCGAGCCTCAAGCAGACAGGCAGAAGGTGGACAGAAGGTTCACAGGGTTCCATGGGGTTCAGCACCAATGCTAAGCATGTCCAGGAGAATCCAGCCAGGGCAGAGGAATGTCCTGTGACCAGGAGGCCTGGGCTGTGTCCCAAGAGCCCCAGCACAGTGTGGTAAGCAGAGGGCTGAGTCAACAGAGGCCTGGGCCTGCAGGACACCAGCACCACGGGGAAAGGCCGGGGCGGGGCGGGGCGGGGCGGGGCGGGGCGGGCAGGGTGGGGTGTGCAGAAGCTGCTCCCATCACTATCTTGCTGGGACGCTGTGATCTGATTTATTATGGAGCATGGACTGAATGCTCTTTTGTCTGTTTTGAGACAGGGTCTCTGTCTGTAGCTCAGGCTGGCCTGAAATGCAGGATTACAGATCCTGAATCTTCCCATCTGCCCCTTCCATCAGAAAAAGAGCAGAGGTGGCCATCCTTCCTCAGAGGGCTTTCAGATTTTAGTGAAAGGACCAGAGGAGGAACTGGGTCTTGCTTAGGGTGAATGTCCCCCCTTCCCAGAGCTGGGGCTGGCTGAGCTGAGGGGCCCGCCTTGCAGCCCAGCTGTTGCCTCTGGGGAACACACTCGGGGATGCCTTGGGCCGCCTGGAGCGGGAGCCTTCTGGTCCTCATCAGCCATCCCAGCCCCCTACCCGCTCCTTGGAGGAAGTCCGTGCCCACAGCCCCCTGTGGCCGGGGAAGCACCCTCACACACCACACACGGCCAGCTGTGACGAGGTACAGAACCCGGAGCTCCTGCTCCGCTGAAGGAGGGATCTGAAGGCAAGGCAAGTGAGGTAGGTGCCAGAGAGGAAGACGGGGTGGCCGGGAAGAGGCGGGCTGGGGCCGAGGGGCCTGCCCAGCCCGCCTGAGGCTTTCTTGGCACAGAAAGAAATTTTTACTAGATAATGGCTCCAAGCCAAATGAGACATCGTGCTATCAAGTTTTGTCCTTTCCTAAGAGGCCAGAGGGACCCAGCACGCAAAGACTAACATTCCTGACAAAGGCACCAGGCAGAAGGGCCCCGGGCCTGGTGGTGCTGTCTGTCTGCAGCATTCCACTTCGGACAAGGCTCTGCTATTCCCAGCTCCAGCTGGGAGCTCAAGCTGGAGAGGAAGCTGGAAAACCCTGAGCAGCTTGGTTCTTTGCTGGTTTGGGGGTACGGGGCATGACCTCAGTCTCACACTAGCTAGGCAGGTGCTGTACTGTTTAGTTTGCCACTCAGTTCTCTCGGTGACCTACACTGAAATTCATCATCACCGCCAGCCTGCCAATCAGGAACATGGTCAGCCCAGGGGACTCAATTAAAATACCAAATTAATTCAATTGAATAACTCCTCTTTCTGACAGGGAAATCAGACATTCTCTCTTTTTTTAACCAACTGACGACGAGCACACAGCGTTCATAGGTCCGGACATCCGCCTGCCATGGACGGGCGGGGCTCACCTGCCACGAGCTCCAGCTTCTCTCCGGGATCACCCTCCGAGTAGAGCTTGGGATGACAGCGGTACCCGATCTGGCTGATGAGGCTGGCAGGCAGGGCCACCAGGTCACGGCGGATGAGGACACATGAGCGGCTCTCCAGCGGCACGGGCTCCGGCTTCTCTTGGACTGCAACACGCACAGAGCTGGTGAGGTGGGTATGGCTGTTCTCCTCTGCCCACTATGCACAACTCTGAAGCCCAGACTGAACTGCTCTATGCCAGCCAGGGGCTGAGATCAGGCCCACTACTCTTGCCCTGCACACCCCTGCTGCATACTCCCCTCTCCTGTTGGCCAACCCTGCTCTAGAAGGAAACTCCAGAAAAGGGAGCAGAAAAGCAGCAGAAGGCAAGGCTATGTTGGGAACAGGGCGCGGGAGCGCCGGCCAGAGGCCTCAGAGCTGCAGGCAAGGCTGAGGTCCAGGGACCCACACCATCTAGCCAGTCAGAGTGACTAGCTCTGCCATCAGGAAAGCCATGGAAGGCACACCGCACAGGTGGAGTTGGGCCTAGGTCCCAGGGACTGGACGCCAGGATCTCCTTGCATGGCTTCATCTAAGAGGCAGCCTCGCCAGGCCCGCCTGGGGACAGGGCAGTGGAAGGGGGTCATGGGCCTGGCTCGGTGAGGACACAGCCCTTGCACTGGGTCAGCCTGGCACGAAGCTGCTCCTAAATATTTCTTTCTTTTTTCTTAAGTAATTTATTGTTCTAGAGGCGATAGAGAGAGGAATTACAATGACATGAGTCTGGTAATGAGTATATTTCCTCTTGAACAGTGTCCTCTTATTTTTTATTTATTTTTTTTGCCAGTCTTGGGGCTTGAACTCAGGACCTGGGCATGATCCCTGACATTCTTTTGCTCAAGGCTAGCATGCTACCACTTCAGCCACAGCGCCACTTCCAGCTTTTTCTGTTTATGTGGTGCTGAGGAATGGAACCTAGGGTTGCATGCATGCTAGGCAGGCACTCTACCCTAAGCCACAATCCCAGCCCTCCACAATATTTCTTACAAATAGAACCAGGCAAGGTGGCCCTAGCCTCCTGCCGACAAAAATGTTTTGGACAAATTGCTTCTGGTAGTGACAGTTTAGTCCAGAAGCCACTGCACCTGCAGTTCTGAGGCAGTGCCTGGCAGACATGACCCCCAGATAGCCCTGAGCCATAGGCTCCTCCCTAAGAATGCCCAGGCACCACAGCCTGGGCAAGGGGAACAAGGCCTTGCTGAGGCCCCCATCAACTCTATGTGGACACAGCTGTCCCCAAATACTGCCCAGCATTGTCTGGAGCCTTTCCCCTTGAAACGGCCAGGCCTCAGGAAAGCCAGCAGGACCAGTGACCTAAGCAGCCCCTCCAAACTCCCACAGGCCACCACAACTGCCAAGCAGGCACACCACACCAAGTCTGCAAACAAGCCACCATGCAAAAACAGAGAGCGCTCCACCTGCCAGTCAGTCATGATCCTCACCAAGATCCCACCTGCTCCTGTCAGTCATGATCCCCACCAAGATCCCACCTGCTCCTATCAGTGATCCTCACCAAGATCCCACCTGCTCCTGTCAGTCAGTGATCCTCACCAAGATCCCACCTGCTCCTGTCAGTCATGATCCCCACCAAGACCCCACCTGTCAGTCAGTGATCCTCACCAAGACCCCACCTGCTCCTGTCAGTGATCCTCACCAAGATCCCATCTGCTCCTGTCAGTGATCCTCACCAAGACCCCACCTGCTCCTGTCAGTCATGATCCCCACCAAGATCCCACCTGCTCCTGTCAGTCAGTGATCCTCACCAAGACCCCACCTGCTCCTGTCAGTGATCCTCACCAAGATCCCATCTGCTCCTGTCAGTGATCCTCACCAAGACCCCACCTGCTCCTGTCAGTCATGATCCCCACCAAGATCCCACCTGCTCCTATCAGTGATCCCCACCAAGATCCCACCTGCTCCTGTCAGTGATCCTCACCAAGACCCCACCTGCTCCTGTCAGTGATCCTCACCAAGACCCCACCTGCTCCTGTCAGTCATGATCCTCACCAAGACCCCACCTGCTCCTATCAGTGATCCCCACCAAGATCCCACCTGCTCCTGTCAGTGATCCTCACCAAGACCCCACCTGCTCCTGTCAGTGATCCTCACCAAGATCCCACCTGCTCCTGTCAGTGATCCTCACCAAGATCCCATCTGCTCCTGTCAGTGATCCTCACCAAGATCCCACCTGCTCCTATCAGTGATCCCCACCAAGACCCCACCTGCTCCTGTCAGTCATGATCCCCACCAAGACCCCACCTGCTCCTGTCAGTGATCCCCACCAAGACCCCACCTGCTCCTGTCAGTGATCCTCACCAAGACCCCACCTGCTCCTGTCAGTGATCCTCACCAAGATCCCATCTGCTCCTGTCAGTGATCCTCACCAAGATCCCACCTGCTCCTGTCAGTGATCCTCACCAAGACCCCACCTGCTCCTGTCAGTCAGTGATCCTCACCAAGATCCCACCTGCTCCTGTCAGTGATCCTCACCAAGATCCCACCTGCTCCTGTCAGTGATCCTCACCAAGATCCCACCTGCTCCTGTCAGTCATGATCCTCACCAAGACCCCACCTGCTCCTGTCAGTCATGATCCCCACCAAGACCCCACCTGCTCCTGTCAGTGATCCTTACCAAGATCCCACCTGCTCCATGCACGTTATTTCCCTCCACAGCAAAAGGGCCTAGCATGTGAAGGACCTGAAGGCCCAGCCCCTCCCTCTGGGGTGCGATGCCATCCTCTTCTAGCAGTGGCAGCTCACTTAGCAACCTCAGCCAGCTGGAGTGGCCTGTTTGATTTTCATGAGTGTTTTTGTTATTATGAAGTTGATGGATAGAAGGGTTACCGTTACATAGGTCAGGTACAGAGTACATTTCTTTTTGGTCAATGTCACCTTCCCTTGCCTGGGGTGGCTTTAAGCCCTGCTGGTTGGACCCCCAGAGCCTGCCAGTCCAGAGTCCTTGCTCAGCCTCAGAAGTAGCGGGAGGGAGGCACACTGGGTCCCTCCATGCTTGCCCTGACCCCAGAACAGGGGTCAAGGTCAGCAGGGGCTGCTGTGCGGCCCAGGAAGGCAAATGGCAGGGGAGGAAGAGGGTGTCCCAGCAGCTCACTGCAGGAAACCGTTGTACCAAGATCCTAAGAGGAAGAAGATGACTGCTCCCACACTGAAACCACCGGCAAGTCACTGGAGACCTGAGGACGGGACCACTGGCAGCCCAGGCTCAACCTCAGCACGTCATAGAACCATTGTCCCCAGGCTGTCAGGCCTCTCTACCCCATCCTGGCCTGGCTTCAGGCCCCCCTGGGGGGGGGGGGATAGAGGGCTTTACCACAGCTCAGGAGACACAAGGAAGGAATGACCTTCCACCCACCGGTGGCTGGATTCAGGGTGGAGGAGGGAGTCTTCGAAAGTCGGCAAATACCGTAAGATGGGGCAGAGCCGGTAAGGCGGCTGGCTGCAGCCATGGCTGCAGTGCTATGGCTCGTGCCAATGGTGGGGGCACCAGTGGAGGGGGTGAGATGGCATTTCCCATTGGGCAAGCAATGGAGAATCGTTACCGCACGGAATTACTCAGGGGCTCACAGAACACATGGAAAACAATCCGGATGATATTTTAAAACATAATTACTCCCCCCCCCCCAGCCCCAGCCTGCTGTGATTACACATGCAAACGAGCAGCAACTTTGCTGTGCCGTGGCATTTACATAAAGAGTGTTCACCAACAGAAATAATTCCCCATCCACAACCACCTCGTCTTGAGATGTTTTTCTCAACAGCAGAAGTTGTTTGCGCTGTGCACGCACGCACACACACACACACCCCTCCCTAGCTCCATCCTGGCTCCCCAACAGCCAGAGACTGTCAGCACAGAGCCCCAAAAAACTGCTTCTATTTCTGCCCTGCCGAGTGCTGGAAGCCATGGCTAAAAATACCCAGCACGGAGCTGCAGTTCAGCTGCAAAGGTGCTCAACCTGTGCATCCTGCACTCCTGATGCGTTCATGGGCTTGTCCCTTCCCTGGGCCCCCAGCTGGAGGACTAAAGGAGCTGCGGTCACTACCCTGAGCACTGAGGGATGAGTTATCACTACAGGTTACAGGAGAAGCTGGGAGGCTGGCTTCCAGAGGCAAAGGACCCGCGGAGGCCCTCACCTGGCCCTCAGAGGACCAGGTATTAAGGCCAGTGCTCTCCTCTGGCAAGGGTGGGAGGCCCCGCAGGGGGCCGTGAGCAGGGCACAAGCCCCGCGGCACTGCCTGACCCGGGGCAGTGCCGCTGCCTTCCCGTCCAAAGGCACGGGCCACGAGGCTCCCATTTCCAGAACCGTGTGCTCAGGGGGAGGCATGTGAGGACTCAGTCAGCCATCTGCAGGAAGAAGTGACTAACTATTCTCCCCAAAGGGGAGTCCAGGCAGAAAGATCTAGAACAGCAGCTCCCCTGGGCAGTCGGGGAAGGCAAATGGGTCAGAATGGTCAAAGCAAACATATCGTGTCCTCTTGTCACTGAGCAGACGGGACCCTTCCGTGCTCCAGACACAGGCACCGGGGAACCCCGCTGGGCCCTGGAGGCCTCACGGTGCCCAGCCTGGGCAGAGACACCACAGGCACTGACTCTCAGCGAAGGACTCCGGCCCCAAGGGCATCGTGCTCAGGAAGACGAGCCAGACACCAAAGGACAAATCCTCGGGGTTCGCCTATGCCAGGGTCCTCACCACACTCATCAGAGGCAGGAAGAAGGTGGGTGCGGGCCAGGGAGGGGGAAGAAGTTTAACGGGACAAGCATCAGGACGGGGAGATTTGGCAAAGTTTTGTGGACCGACAACAGTGAGTGTGCTCAGTGCTACCAAACTGAACCGTGTGCATAAAAATGATTCACCATCGATCTTACAGTCTGTATACTTTGCCACAATAAAAGAATTGTTTTATATGATTTTTTTTAATGCTGAGAGCTTGTATAAGACCCTGGTCTCAAGCCGGGCGCTGGTGGCTCATGCCTGTAATCCTAGATACTCAGGAGGCTGAGATCTGAAGATTGCGGTTCAAAGCCAGCCCGGGCAGGAGAGACCGTGAGACTCCTATCTCCAATAAACCACCAGAAAACCGGAAGTGGCGC